GCTTTGGCATTATCACAGTCCAGGACATTTCAGTTGGAACAAAAGGAACAATGGAACAAATGATGCTGCTGGAGACGTGTCACCTGAAAAAGCCACTGTCAAAGAAGAAACTCTACCTGGTTTTGAGAAGGGAAACAGTGAAGCCCTTGTTGAAGTTACTACCACTGATGTGACTGTTACCGATAATAGGACGTTTCCTGATGAAGCAGATGAACCCCACATGAAGCAGAAGCCAACAAAATGGAGACCAATACGGAAGAAGATACATCCCATAAATTAAAATTTTAATTTTGTGTTTGTAAATTCTGTACATTTAATTAAGTTATTGTTAATTGTTTATTGGTTTAATGTAAGTGGCTACTGTTCGTCCCGAACAATACTAAGGAAGGGGCAGTGTTACGACAGCGTAGGTCACATGATGCTAGTAACACGTCATATTCTCAAAGGTTCGTGAATGCTTGAGCATTTACTAGATTTCGGTATTCTTGTATATATAAGACCGGTAAGAAGTGATGGCAACAATGCGTAATTGAATGGCAGGCAGAGATAAATACGGACAGTTGAGATGAGCACGTGAGATGTTCGTTGTGAATTATAGCGTTTGTTATAGCGCGACTGTGGAAATTAAATGTATTGCAAAGTTGTATTCAGAAAGAATAAATCAGTTTTATTTAATAAAGGATTTGTGTCGCTAAAGTTTCATCGGAAAGAAATTATATGGGAAATTAACTAATGAACGGAGACGTAACAGTATAAACAATAAGCTGATAACCCCCAACATTTCGAACATACACAATAATTTATTGTATAAAGTTAAAAGCAAGAATAAAAAGCTAAAAAACTCTACATGTTTCAGTGGATGTGTTCCACCATCTTAAGGAGCCAAGGACGACAAAAATTCCGTTTATATATCCTGTAAATGTACACGTTACAATTTACATCTTGTACAGTGCCACCACTTACAAAATTGACTTCCGAGAATTTACTTCCATAGCACTAGGACCAATATCTCTATTCAAAATCATTGTTTTTAACAGTTTCTAACAACTCTTGTACTTAATTTATTTTTTAACTTTATTTAAGTATTTTTACACTGTCCCAATCAGTAATATATGAAGAGTTTGTCATATGTTCTGCCAATGGTGAATCACTCATTTTTAATTTATCAACAGCATTTTCATATTCTTCAATTATAAATTTCAGAGGTCTACTTGACCATCCAATGTAACTTAAACTGCAACTACAAGAAATTTTGTATATTCCACAATTTTCCTTTACTTTCACATCATTCATGATAATAATCAATTTTAATTGAGGAGTAAAGGTTATTATACAGGCCATATTTTTCATGAACGATTTACCTATTTTTGTTGACTATGATGGAACATATAGCAAATATATGCCTTCCTTATTTCTTTGTTTTATTTGTCTGAAATTTAAAATATCCAGAAATATGTAACTTATTACAATGTTTTTATAGATCCTATCTATGATGTTAAGTTGAAACTTCTATCAGTCGCTATATATTTTAAATAATTCAATTTGAATATTAAATCTTCATTATAACTATTAGTTACACCCAACCTTGACAGTATAAGGTTTCCTTGTTTGTTCGATGTTAAGGTATACAACAGGTTTTTACAACTGTCTTTACTTTTCTCTGTACTGCCATCTTCGAGTCTTTCTTTATTTCAGTATTTGAACCATCATTTAAAAGGTTTTTAAATTTATCAGTGTAATTGCTTTCATCTAATATAGCATTCTGTCCTTCTTTATCTGCTTTAGAAATTACAATGTTTTTATTATTTTTTATTAGGCAAAGTAAATTAGTGTTGTAATCATACGAGTTAATTTTTGATATTAGAAGATAGAAATTTTACTACTGTCATTCAAACAATATCCTTTACAATATTATCATCAACTGTAACTTGTTTCAAACTGGTTTGGACTCCCATGATTAAATCTTCTTTCACTGTTATCTATAGTAAAATTCAAATCTAGAACAAGAACATGAATTTGTTCTTTTGTAATATTTTCTTTGGATATATTTACAATTTTTGGAGTATTCAGTAATGTAGTATACTTTTTGTTTAACACAATATTAGTATTTTGCGTATTTACTTTTAGAATATACATCTTTCTTAATTACATTATTCAGTTTCTTTTCCAAATTATTGATATGTTTCAATCTTACCTTTTCTCATTTCCACGAACTAGATGTTTCAAATGTATCCCGTATCAACTTCTATATTCCTAGTTAATTTTAAGTGTACATAGTATAGATTAGCCTCAGTTTTTGCACTCCTTTTGTCATTGATAATACTTCTAATAATTTTAAACTGAGCTTAATAATAAATTTTATCTTATTATTTTTTAAGTTACCTTTTACTTTTATACTGTTTGTTACAACATAATATTTCTTGCATTTCATTAAAAAATATAGTTTATTTAAGTTGACTTCTGTATAACCTTATAAGTTTGTTGAAAACATTGCCCTCTTCTTTTTCATCTTTCATTGTTCATTCTTAAACCACAATAGTTTTTGATGATCAATTCAATCTTCCAAACACATCATTGATTGTAGCAGAACACAGTTACCTGAACAAGAACTATGGGGTCTTGATTG